TTAATAGTAAACTCTGGAGTACCCGACATGCGTGTTGGTACAATTACTGAGTACAGAGATGCCACATTTTTTGAGAATGAATTTCCCATGAAAAATACACCTAGCACGTCTAGTCAAGAACCTGTTTTACCCCATGAGCACTTTGCACCGATAAAACACAATGATCAAACGCCTGAGGAAAATCCTGAGGAGGATAACATTGTAGCAACTCGAAAGAGTAAGAGACAAAGGACTGCAAAGTCTTTTGGAGATGACTACATTGTATACCTCGTGGATGACACTCCAAGAACCATAGAAGAGGCATATTCATCTCCTGACGCTGACTATTGGAAGGAAGCGGTACGTAGTGAGATGGACTCAATTATGTCTAATGGTACTTGGGAAGTCGTTGAGCGTCCATATGGGTGCAAGCCTGTAGGATGCAAATGGGTTTTCAAGAAAAAGCTTAGGCCTGATGGTACAATTGAAAAGTATAAGGCAAGGCTTGTGGCCAAGGATTATACCCAAAAAGAAGGCGATGATTTTTTCGACACCTACTCACCAGTTGCCCGCTTGACCACGATTCGAGTACTACTTGCTTTGGCAGCCTCTCATGGTCTTCTCGTCCATCAGATGGATGTTAAGACAACTTTCCTAAATGGAGAGCTAGAAGAGGAGATATATATGAATCAACCAGACGGATATGTACTAAAAGGTCAGGAGGGAATGGTGTGTAAACTGTTGAAATCCTTATATGGCCTTAAGAAAGCACCTAAGCAATGGCATGAGAAGTTTGACACAACACTTACATCTACTGGCTTTATTGTGAACGAAGCTGACAAATGTGTGTACTATCGCTATGGTGGGGGAGAGGGAGTGATCTTGTGTTTATATGTCGGTGACATATTGATTTTTGGAACCAGCCTCAATGTGATTGAGGAGGTTAAGGACTTTTTGTCCAAAAGCTTTGAAATGAAGGATTTGGGAGTGGCTGATGTTGTTCTTAACATTAAGCTACTGAGAGGAGATGAGGGTGGGATTACACTTGTGCAATCTCACTATGTGGACAAGGTTTTGAGTCGCTTTGGTTATAGTGACTGCAAGCCAGCTCCAACTCCTTATGACTCCAGTGTGCTATTAAGGAAAAACCGAAGAATAGCAAGGGATCAATTGAGATACTCCCAAATCATTGGTTCATTGATGTACTTGGCTAGTGCAACGAGGCCTGACATCTCATTTGCTGTGAGCAAGCTGAGCCGGTTTGTTTCAAATCCGGGAGATGATCATTGGCAAGCTCTGGAAAGGGTCATGCGCTATCTAAAGGGTACAATGAGCTATGAAATTCACTATACTGGTTACCCAAAAGTACTGGAAGGGTATAGTGACTCAAACTGGATATCTGATGCTGATGAGATAAAGGCCACAAGTAGATATGTGTTCACACTTGGAGGTGGCGCTGTTTCCTGGAAGTCTTGCAAGCAGACCATCTTAACGAGGTCAACAATGGAAGCAGAACTCACAGCACTAGATACTGCCACAGTTGAGGCCGAGTGGCTTCGTGAACTCCTGATGGATTTGCCGGTGGTTGAAAAACCAGTGCCAGCTATCCTAATGAACTGTGATAATCAAATAGTGATTATTAAGGTGAACAGTTCGAAAGACAACATGAAGTCATCTAGGCATGTAAAGAGAAGACTGAAATCTGTCAGAAAGCAGAAAAACTCCAGAGTGATAGCACTGGACTATGTCCAGACAGCTAAAAATCTGGCAGATCAGTTTACCAAGGGGCTACCACGTAATGTGATAGACAATGCATCGAGGGAAATGGGCTTGAGACCCACTTAGAGTTGCACAATAGTGGAAACCTGTCCATTGTGATCGGAGATCCCGTGAATTTGGATGGCGAAACAAACTATTGTGTAACCGAGAGAAGAGACCCTTAAATGGGCTCATTTTCATGATGTACTTCTCTTCTATTCTGTATGGTAGGATGGCTTATGCTTCAATGTGTTCCGAGTGGCTTTCATTAAGCAGCGATGTTGACCTGCAGAACATCTTAGAAGTCACAGTCTATGAGATTTGAGTGATCTCTAGATACTCATGAAAGGCCTGGAGTATGACTTATAAGCTCCAACCCGAGGGAATACTAACGGTTGCCTAGTATCAGTTATGGAATTGAGTGAAACCTAACTGCACAAGACTGACAATTCAAGGCATAGTCCATTGTTCAGTTGTGGTCAGGTGTAGCTCCTTTTCTAGGTGAAAGTTCAACTTAACAGTCTTCACCGAAACACTGGTATATAAAAGCTGCTATGGAATAGAGAGCATTCTCATGAGCCTTGAAATTTGGTGTGGATTGATAGATTTAATTGGGTAATTGATCCATTTAAAACAATTAAATCAAATAAATTCCAAGGCTCATTATGCTAGGAATTCATGTGTATTCATTCTTTTATGGTATATCAATGGGATGAAGAGTTTTGAGAATTAATCCATTTGATTAGGGAATTGGTAACTTATATCAATTAGTCCTAATTGATGGATGGTTGATGGTTGTGTAGTGGAGGATGGTTCATGGCTAGTTGATGACAATTAGTTGCTCTATTCCTCTTCCTATTCCATTGGTAACTTACATCAATTACTCTTAATTGATTGTTGGTTGATGGTTGTGTAGTGGAGGATGGTTCATGGCTAGTTGATGACAATTAGTTGCTCTATTCCTCTTTCTATTCCATGACTCTTACTCTTCATCTTCCATTCCTCTTATAAAATGAGAATGGATTTGATCTCCCGCGAGAATAGTGAGACACACTTTCATCCATTTTCCAACGCTGTTGCTGCTACGGTAATCCCATCCCGACGAGTGTGTGCACACGCGTTGGGAGAGTAGGCCTCCGAAACTACGCGCTGCTGCGACGTTTGCACGGACGGGCGGGCTATCAGGTTTTTGGGGAGCGCAACGCGCGACTACTCACTGTTCGTCAACATCTACTTCATCTTCACCAATATGTCGAACACTGGAGACAACGGCAACACTGGATACAAGGAGAAGGAGGCTCCCGTCAACACCAACGGAGGCAATACTGCCTCAAACTCCAGCGGAGGACCATTCTTGGGGTATAACCTTCTTACATTATTTCAATTAGAAGTTTTACTGTTAATGTTCATCGCAATGTCAACATTGTGTTATTATGTGATTGTTGATGCTTATTCTACATTAAGCATGCTCATGTTGATTACATTCACCACTATCACTGGATCAAATCCCATTGTAAATATCATATTTATTATTTTGTTATTTTGGATTAAAATATGCCGAATTATGACCAAAGTTCCAACATAAACTACCCCTTCCATCTAAAAAAGACCAATCCTACATATGAACTTGGACGCACATGTGTGTTTAGGCTCGTAGATAGAAATTCATTTTTTTTACAGAGTAGTAAGTATCTGAATAAAAAAAGCATGGTGTATCATGTAAATCCATCGACATCACCACACCATGGACACTGGACAAGGTTTCTTTGTTGGAGATAACCTAATGATTCCCTTGTCCAATGTTTGAACAACCAAGCATCCATCTTATCCCTGTTCACGTTGATTGTACCTCTGGAATTGGGGATGGACGGTTGAGGTGAACCGGAGGAGCACAGTGAGCATCCTGTGCCTGCCAAAAGGCCAAAAACAATACTGTACAATCAAAATGACCAAAGAGATGATACTTGATGGACACTTGGACGGTGCTCAATTAACAAAAGAAAAACAACAGACACATGCCATTTTAGAATATAATTGAGCTTTGCATGAAAATTATAGATATATGATTTATATATCTATGTCGGTCTTGATTACGTATATATAAATATTTTTTTACTGTATCTCACGATATTCGACCAATCTTAAAGGTTACCGCATTTAAAAAAGATACATCAAGAGTGTAAAACCATCCAGCTTTGCAGCAAGAATAAAATACTCTATCACTACATTATAGGAAAATTACCTATTTATTATACCGTGCGTCTTTTTATCGGTCACGTAGCAGAAAAAGGCCGAAGCAAGCATCACTCGATTCTTAAACTAAGTGCATGGATTGAAAAGTTTGAGTATAATTTTCCTTTAGCAGAGAAAGGATTTATGGACAAAGGTAGCCACTGACCATTCTAACTTAGGCACGACAAACCTTGAAAACCATGTTCTATAATCCATGATTACTCAGCAAAATTTGACCAAATTTAACACTGGAAATTCAACTAAAATACCACAAAGCTAAAACGTGCTGAACCGGTACACTAATAAATTAATATATATATTTTCCTTCTTTGGACCAAAACGAGTTTGTGATGATATTTCCTTTTTCTTATGGGGAGATCGCAGCCAAGATTACGTGCAGCTGAACAAGTCCAGGTACACTTAAACGCCGCCACCTTCTAGTCGTATTTTTTTTTCAGAATTCAATTCATACTTATCAGCTAAAATTTAAAATTTCAATATTAAATTTAGAGTTGATTTTAAAGTTTTTTTATCGAAGTTTATTTTTCAATCTTTGCTTTTAGATTTCTAAAGATACATATATAAAAAAAGTTTTATTCACAAATTATTTTCGTTTGTAAATATGGGTCTGTTTGGGGAGCTTCTAGCTGCAGCAGTTTCTTACATAATCATAAGCTCCTCATATAGTTCAACTTTTGGTCCAGATTATAAAAAGATGTAGTTATTAGAATCCAAAAAATGAACTGGAAGTCAAAAGCTGATAAACCCAGCTTTTTTAAATTATCAGAAGCTGGCTTTCAATCAGCTGTTTCTCAGAATCTTAAGCTCTCCAAACAAATTCAAAGAATAAACGAAACAATATTGCCGTAAAACGAACCCAAACAAATCTTTGCCAAAATATCAACGGGCGGGCGTACGACGTCACACGTGCACCCACGCGCCGTGGGGCCCACATGGAAGTGAGAGAGACAGAGACAGCGTGGGTCCAGCTAAGCGCAGTCACGCGCATCGCCTCCTCACCCCTGCCAGCGAGGCGCCCACCACCAACCCACATACCCAACCCCCGCGAGGGGGGAAAGGAAGGAGAAAGCCTCCCGCCCCCCTCGCCGCCGGCGAACGCGACGGCGGGCGCGTCACCACATGCCGATATCCTCCGGCATACTCGCGCCGACGCGGGGGGCCTCCTCGTCGTCGTCCGCGGTGGGGAGGAAGCTCCTCCTCCTCGGGGCTCGTCATCCTCCCTCGTCCGTGGCGGTGGCGGGTCGTGGCGTCTGGCGAAGGGGGCTTGCCGGGGTCGGGGTGGCGGCGGCGGCGGCGTCGTCGTCTTCGCCCGACGAGCTTCACGCGCGCGGGAGGCCCCTCCGCGGCGGCGCCTACGAGGAGGTGAGCGAGCGAGCACAGCCGAGGGGGTTAAACTCCATGTTCCTCCTCCATGTTATACGAAACAGAAGAATCGAGGCGAAAGTATGAAACGATAGCTTTCAGCCTTTTGCAAATACTCGATTGAGCAGCAGTAGGTGGTATGTATGATTTGCGTTAGTTGGTGTGGGATTTGGATTGGAGCGAAGTGATGGGGGATTGGAAGGATTTGAACCGTATATAGATCTGTTCATTTAGAGATGTAAATGTTCCTAAAGTCGGCAACACAAAAGTAAACGATACTAGCGTCGATGCGCAAAGCTGCAACTTTATCTTTCTCATTGGATAGTTTGTCATGCTGGGTACTAATCTTGGCACACAGTTTGTCTTAACCCTTGAGCAGTATAAAGCTTCCTAAAAGTGCATCCGAGTGCTAATATGGTTAACTTTTTTGAGTATGCATACACATTATTTAGCCTCTCATAGTTGGATGGCAGTGATGGAGAAGTAATTCAGCATGCTTGAGCAACAACAAAAGTTAGAATGTCTCTCCTCACAAGTGTGAGGATGTTATTTAGCTTTCACCAACAAAGAATATATGCTTGTCATCCCCCTACTGTCAAACTTATCTAGATGAGAGCATTAGCATCTTTTGGTCCTATTTGAATTTCTGTATTGTCACTTTTCATTATCGTGATGCTCCTGTGTTTGCTTGTAGAGATCTGCCCTTTGGAACTTGATAAAAGACATAGAACCTTTGGATCTAAGCATAATCCAAAAAGATGTTCCTTCTGAAACTGTGGATGCAATGAAGAGGACTGTTTCAGGCATGTTGGGCCTTCTTCCATCCGATCAGTTCCATGTGGTCATAGAGTCCCTTTGGAATCCTTTCTTCAAGCTGTTGGCATCTTCAATAATGACAGGGTATGCTTTTCTGCCCGAAACTTAGCTTTCATGTTCATCCACTGTATTGATTATTGTTGATTCTAGTTGGTCAAAAGAAGTCAGATTTAAGCATGATCACCTTTTGAAATGTGCACAGGAAAGTAGCAAATGACTTAGCGTGTAGTTTTAGGTCAATGCATTAAGATAAATAATTATGTAGCGTGGCCAGCTATTGGTGGCCAGCTGTAGCATAGCTCTTGTCTATCATCTATATGCATGAAATACAAATGCTATTTCCCTATGCTGAGTTCGTCAGGACAATCGCAGCACTTTCGTTCATGTATGTGGTATGTCAAAGCATGTCTTGAGGGTGTGAATTGTGAACTCCAAACCTTTTCCTACAGCATTTCTGCCAATGAGATTTTAGTGTACAGTGTCTAGTAGTTTTGGTTTTCCTCGAGCATATAGTCCAAGTGTACACCCTTGTCTGGTCTACCTGGAAATTGTTACCCATACAATCTACCACTATTGCTTCAGCACTCACATAGTCACATCCCATTTTTCTTTGGAACTAGCTATTCTTCCACCCCTGTTAATTGCTCTTAAAGGGTGCATTCCTTTTCATAATTTCACGAAGGAGATGACAGATATAAGTTGCTTGGTATCAGCTTGGTGTTCATTCAAATTAAACTTGATTCCTCAAAATTTCAGATTGAATTGCTAACCTTCTTCCTCACAAAAAAGTAAGAAGAAATAAATATTAACCTTTTTGATGGCATCAAATTCCTTTTCACCCATAATTGTTGGTATGGTGAAATAGAATGCTTTCACTTAACTTAGAAGAAAGGCCAGACCATTTACATATTTTTTTATTTTATTTTTCTCATTGGCATTTAGCATAAACACTTGATGGGGTGATTTGCATGTGCCAAGGAAAATTAATTTCTAATGTCACTTTGCCTTTGTTCCAGGTATACTTTATTCAATGCTCAGTACAGACTCTCCCTTGAAAGAACGCTGGAGTTTTCTGAAGAAGAAACTGAATGCAAGAAAAGAGATAGCTGTGAAGAAATTCACAGTGTTGGAAGGCCTTCTATGTTTCTCAGCTTACCAGAAGATGTAGGCTTGACAATCGAATCAGAAATGGCAGATGAAAAATTATGTGGAAATATGGATGGACTAGGTAGCTTAAGTATTGAAGCAAAAAAACTCATTCTCGGTATGCAATCTCGCTTGGATTCCATGGAAAAGGTAATAACCATCTCTTACAGTCTTACCTGATTGGATGATCATAGATGATTGGTAGTGATGGCCATATGTATATTGACTGCCCTGCATATATCTGCCAATCTTGTCATACCTATTATGCACAGTGAAAATTTCATGGCTCGTTAATTTCACACTTTTTTCTGTATCAAGAATCTCTGCTTAGTGCAAGCTTGGCTAGTGTAATATTAGAGGTCAACTTCACCTTCCCTTTGAACTGTAGGTTAATCCCATTGGTATTCTTTAACATCTTTGCAGGTTTAAGCTTTCACTTGAAAACTACCAATTCAGAATTTGATTGTATTCTTATATTATTTTTAACCTTGCAGGAGCTACATGAACTTAAGAAGAAAAATTCTTCCCAACAAATGCAGCAATTTGCTGGAGAAGAGAAAAACGAGCTGCTGTATTACTTGAGATCGCTGTCACCTGAGAAGGTTGTTCTGTTTCTGGCCTTTTGAGTTCCGCAACTAATATATTTCCTCTTGTTGGATGCCATGTGAACAAAAACAGCAAATAGCAATCAAAGCAAGATGAAGTTTCCCAGTTTCCTGGGGCACCTTTTTGTTTCAATTTGAGCTAATAACCATTTTGAACAGGTTGTTGAACTCTCGGAGTCTTCCTGCCCTGGTGTGGAAGAAGCTGTTTACTCCGTGGTACATGGTCTGCTAGCAACTCTCTCCCCCAAAATGCATACGAATCGCTCTCCGACCTCAGAGAACATGGCGGGTGGAGCTGTAAATTTTGGGATGGAGGAGGACGATGAATTCACTGAGCTCGTGGAGGACGTGTCCCTCCCATTTCAGCCCCTGATATCTATTCCTCGCGACCGTCTTGCCCGTCTATTATTCTGGTAATAATAGCAGTTCCTTACCTGTGCTGCCTACCGATACTTGACAACGTTCTGACCTTGTGATTCCGCGATGGCTGTTCAGGTGCATGATGCTGGGCCATTACATCCGAGGTCAGGAGTGCCGGCTTGAGCTGATGCACCTCCTGGCAGTCTCCAGTGATGCACATTCATGATCTCCCCTAGTCTGGTAGCAACAGCAAATGCTCTGCAAAGCTTCTGTCAGCTGAACGAACTACTTCTGCATGACAAAGACGGAAACAGGAAACTCTCAAGCATCATGCGAATCGATCCAATTTGGATGCTGCAACATTAGTATGGGGATACATAGGAGAGGGAGAAGAGGAGCAAACCCATGGATGGCCAAGGTAGAGGTCAGGTCATGGTCCCTGCAGTAGCTCGAACCAGGTTGGGTTGCTCAGTAGCGTCAGATTTCCATATAGGATTAACCATTTCATCATGGTTAAATGTGCTTTTCACCTTCTTGTTAGTTTGTGTTGTGCTATGTGTACAAATCCTGGAGTTAGTATACAGTATTTCCTCACCGATGTACTGGTATTTTGGTTGTAGCAACGTTGGTGTTGCATCCTGTATATATAACATTATACTAGTAGTATGTATGTAAAACTCTTATATTTCCTTGTGTAAAAAGATCTCTTAATTTTTCCATTCTATTTCCTTTTGTAAAAGAATCTCTTTTTTTTTCCTTTGTAAAAGTTGAGTTCGTCTACCTCAGAAAAAAAATGTTGGATTCTTCTGGGCTGTGTGGGTTGGAATTCCTGGGGAATTTAACTATTTGTCACTTTTAGGTTCGTCACTTATCCAAATGCTCCTCATTTGTGCTTAAAAATTTGCCACTGAAAAGAGGTAATTTTTTAACTATTTGCCACTTTTGTCTACGTGATGTGTCCGCGTGAAAAGTAACGTGGGCCCCACCTGTGAGCCACTCCCCTCTCCTTCTACCTACGACCGCCGTATATGTATCGAAGTCTAAAAGTACTTATATTTTAGGACGGAGTATGTCAAAGTTCCAAAATACTTAATACTTATATTTTAGGACGGAGGGAGTAAAAGTGATAAATATTTAAGAAATTACCACTCTCAAGTAGAAAATTATTAAACGTGGACCTAAGAGAGTCATTTGGATAAGTAAAATCTTAAAAGTGACAAATAGTTAAATTCCATGGAATTCCCAATGCCTAATACAGTAGTACAGTACTACAGTAATAACCTGCAAAATCATTTACTACTAGCTCTGTAAAAAAAGGTTTTGGCGCCGAGTCATGGGTAATTTGAGTTTTAAACCCTACCTCATCGAGCCCCAGATCCCGCCCGCGATCCCCAGATTCCCCCAAAAATCCAAAATCCAAAACCCCAAAAAAAAGCGAAACACGATTCCACGAAACCCTCGTCCCCCTCCTCGTGAGATCGGATTCGATTCATCTCGTAGGCGCGTCTCCCCTCCTTTCGAATTCTCCATTTCGCGCTCTTCTCTCCCATTCCCCCAATCTACTTAACCTCCTCCTCCTCCTCGAGCTCCGAATCCCAAAACCCTAGCCCCACCCGCCGCCGCACGCCGGAGGAGGAGGAGATGGCTGACAAGGAGAACTCCACCCCGGCCTCCGCGGCGCGGCTCACCCGCTCGTCTGCGGCGGCTGGGGCGCAGGCCAAGCGTTCGGCCGCCGCGGGCGTCGCCGACGGTGGCGCGCCGCCGGCGAAGAGGAAGCGCGTCGCGCTCAGCGACCTCCCGACCCTCTCCAACGCCGTCGTCGTCGCCCCCCGCCAGCCGCACCACCCCGTCGTCATCAAGCCGTCGTCCAAGCAGCCCGAGCCCGCCGCGGAGGCGGCGGCGCCCAGCGGCGGCGGCGGCGGCTCCCCCGTGTCATCCGCGTCGACGTCGACGGCGTCGCCCTCCTCCGGTTGGGACCCGCAGTACGCCTCCGACATCTACACCTACCTCCGATCCATGGAGGTACGCGCTTCGATCTGCATTCGAATGGATTAGGTTTGGTTTGGTTTGGGATCTGACGACGATGGTGGGTGGGCGCAGGTGGAGGCGCGGAGGCAGTCGGCGGCGGACTACATCGAGGCGGTGCAGGTGGACGTGACGGCGAACATGCGGGCCATCCTCGTGGACTGGCTGGTGGAGGTCGCCGACGAGTACAAGCTCGTCGCCGACACGCTCTACCTCGCCGTCTCCTACCTCGACCGCTACCTCTCCGCCCACCCGCTCAGGCGCAACAGGCTGCAGCTCCTCGGCGTCGGCGCCATGCTCATCGCTGCGTAAGCCGCCGCCGCCGCCATTTTCTTCCTCTAGTCTCCTCACATTGCATCAGAGATTGGGGGATTGAGTTTGGTTGTTGGATGGTGGTGGTGGTGGTTGCAGGAAGTACGAGGAGATTAGCCCTCCTCATGTGGAGGATTTCTGCTACATCACTGATAATACGTACACTAGGCAGGAGGTTGTCAAGATGGAGAGCGACATACTCAAGCTTCTCGAGTTCGAGATGGGCAATCCTACCATCAAGACATTCCTCAGGTGGGCATACTGACCCCCCCAAATGATCATAATCCTCTGCAAATGCTTGCTCCCAATCTGAATTCGTGGCTGAATGACTCATTTTGTGCATTTCCCCTTTGTTCCACTTAAATTTCAGGCGGTTCACGAGATCTTGCCAGGAAGACAAAAAGGTAAGCATCAATCCGTGTGATTCATCATATTAGTCATTTAATTCTTGCTCTTTTGCTTCTGTGGGTGCATAAATTGGTGTATCTGACGGATTCTTGTATACTCGTTGCAGCGCTCCAGCTTGTTATTGGAGTTCATGGGGAGTTATCTTGCTGAGCTTAGTCTACTTGACTACGGCTGTCTCCGGTTCTTGCCATCGGTGGTTGCTGCCTCAGTGGTGTTTGTTGCTAAACTGAACATTGATCCGTACACCAATCCTTGGGTAAGAACTAAAAACTATTCCCCTGTATAAAGTGCTGCTGTGGATCTATACCTGAAGGCTAAAAACTGTACTGCATGTGGTTCTAGAGCAAGAAGATGCAGAAGTTGACAGGATACAAGGTGTCTGAACTGAAGGATTGCATCTTGGCCATTCATGACTTGCAGCTCAGAAAAAAATGTTCAAACTTAACTGCAATTCGCGACAAGTACAAGCAACACAAGGTTTGTGCACGTCCTGCATCATGTAGTCTTAATCAGATTATTGTCATAATTGTAGCGTTGGTCTAATTCTGCAATTATTTGGAACAGTTCAAGTGTGTCTCAACATTGCTTCCCCCTGTTGATATCCCTGCGTCATACCTCCAAGATTTAACAGAGTAGCTGTTTTTGGTCTGCAACTTTGCGATGTTAACAGTCTGAGCTTGTCTCGAGCTCCCGGAGATAAAGGAAGAATTACAGTTGCAGGGCAGCTTCTCAGCTAAGTTAGAGTGCTCTAAGCATTTAGATGCTGAATGGTTTTAAAGCCTGAGCCTTAGGGGGAGATTTCAGAGTCTATTTAGGAGCCACTGAATCGCTAGCAGGCTAACAGGCATTCTCCTGTTTTTGTAAAATTGTAGTTCTGTATTATAACTTACAACATGGTGTCTTGGTTTGTTGGGAGAAAAACTTGTAATGTTTGATATGCTGGTCCATTCCCTTTGTTAATCTTTTTTTATGAAATTGTCGGTTACAGTCTCAGTACCTTCTTTTCCCTATTTAAGGGTAGAATCACAAATGGACTTGAATAACACTGGTGACTTGAACAGTTATGCTCGACAAGTTGACACCTCTTGTGCTATTTACCGTGACAATTTTGTATCAACATATTTTGTTCAATCTAACATATAGATGCATGCGCCTTTGCTAATGAATCATCAGAAATATTTGATGCGGTTGGCTTATGAAGACTACTGTGTTGAGGGACTTGGTGTGGTACTGTGGTGTATTCACAAACTTGATTTTCTTTCAGGGCAACTAATGCAGCAGAAATGACCTCCTACTTTTGTTTCTGTCTTATAAGTGATGCCTACATTTGTGTTACGTGCAATACAGTAGCCTAGAGTAGTTCAGATGCCATTTCTAATTTTCTACTTATAAATATGTGCAACTTGAAACTTGAAAGGTACATAAAGTTTTCTCCTTTCGCCCCACCCTTTCCATCATGAAGTTTTTCTACATAAGCTGCACTACCTTTTCTTTTCCAAAACTTTTCTTAGCAATGTGTTTCATATGAGTGAAAATTGATAATCTTTCACCTTCACTACCATTTCCATAAAAAAAAGAGGAACTGTACTGTCCTTTCCAACCTTAAATTACCTTCCTCTTAGCTTTTGGTGCGTTGGAATTTCATAGGATTTTGCTGGAATTTAAAATTAGTCAGTTCATTTCCTGTAGGAATTGGACAAGATCGCCACTGTTCTGAATGTTTTTTTTTTTGGAACTTCAGCTACATGTTGGGAAATAAAAATTGAGAACACTTGCAATATAACTGAATTACTGATAAAGACGGGATATATTCTTCGTGTAAGAATTGCTGCGGAATGCATGTCTTTCTTCACAGTTGAATCAACTATGATCATGCTAATAAGTTTCTAGCTATAAAATTAGTGCAGTAACTTGTCTCTGAATTTTTTTTTCAATAATTCTGCCAAGAATTCCAAATGAACAACAATACCTTCGAAGTTCAGTACCACCATATGATTTTGATCTGATGGTGAGCTGAACCTATTGATTACTTCAAACTCATTTATTCAGAAGGACAAGCTTGAGGAGGGACTTATGTACTGGTCAGAGTTGTACATCAACCTATCAAAGCCTGAGATTTAAGTCTATCTTACTCTGTTCTGATGGTTGGTCTGAAGGCTGTGATCTCAATCTGAAGCTCCCTGGCCATGTCGAATTCGGCACCTCCTCATAAGCAATCGGTGGCCAGCTGATGCTGCCTTCATGAAACCTTGGTGCTGTCCTGATCTGTGCTTGCTGGCTTGCCTTCTGAATCACTGAGCTCTGGTTTACTCTCAGGGAGTGCACAAAGGCAGCATGTGCCTCAAGAGGCAGCCCCATCATCATCCTCTGCGCATGGTAGGAGCGTTTTGCGGCGCTCCGCTCTCGCTTGTGAGCGTTCTGATGGCCGCCCAGAGCCTGCGAGCTGAAGAACTTCCTCATGCAGAAGTTACATGAGAACACCTTGTGTGGTGCAGAAGAAGGCTTGGGAGCCTCAGACTCCGAGCAGTTTGCTGCTTCTGTTTCTTCTGCTTCGGCTGTTGCTTCTTCTGGTGATCCCTGTGTGGCAAGAGTGAGGCTCAGCCATGTCGCGCCGTCATCATCTTGCTCGCTGGTAAGCTGCTGCTGCTCTGAGCTCTCTTTGTTCACCGACGACTCGTCTGCCTGCTCCATCTCCTACCATGTAAGTGGTTCAAGCTTTCTGGCTCTCAGGTTTGCAACTCATGTATGGTGCATCTTCTTTCAGTTTTCAGATGGCTTTTATAAAGGATGACGAGGTAGGAGAAGGCAGAGGGGAATTTTTTTTTTCGGGAGGTAATAATTGAGGCTTGTGGAGGGTCTTTGTGAGGAATCAGGAGGTAAAAGAGTTTTGTCTGGAGTTAGTGGATCTCTCTTTTAGTTGCTTATCTCTCCTTCCTTTCTTGCCTGGCCCTTGCATACATTGTAGTGGTGCTATGCTACCCTGGTTGTACATATCCCAGGGGCAAGGCACAATGCATATGCTTCTGTCATCTTTTCCTGTACACATCTCACTAGTTGATGTGTGTACCCCTGCTCTTTTTCCTAAAAGAAAACAAGAATCATGATACAAGGCATGAAATTTCCATGACAAGCTTTCTTCCATTGGCTGGTATGCCTCATACAGGCGCCGTTTGACTATTCGTCAGGGGGTTTGATGAAAGCGATTTCCCATTAACAAAGTCATGAATCTTGTTAGGATTTTTGGTCTAGTCTAATCAGGCAAGCCCACAGCTTCTGGCTCTAGAATGATGGTTAGGTTAGGCCATAAGAAGCAATCCTACAATACTTTCTTTGTATGTGCTCCTGTTGAACATCCTGGGGATAGATGCTACTGTAATAGTAGCTATATAAAATATTCAGTTTTTTTTTTTACCATGTACCGTAGACCATAGTTCACCTTTTCTGAAATTAGTTAACTTGCACAAAAAGCATGATGGTTAGGTCAGAATTCACAATAAGCAGCACATATAGGCACCAGCAGTAATAGTAATTAGTTAATTACATCACTGTTCTTTTTGGAGTACTATTATTTTCAAAGATAGTGATGGAAAGAAGAAGACATGCATCCTTCTTGTTACTTCTATTGATATTATAACAATCCGATCTGAGAAGTGACAAGTGAGAACTAACAACTAAAGTGGAGTGGTGAGGCGAATAGAATTGTTTTATGCGTCGTGTTATCCTTTCAAGAGCCAATAATGGAGTTATATACTGCAGATATATTGTGGCCATCTGCTGTTAACTTGTTAGGCATCAATTTTTTTTTTCTTTTTTGCTTTAGTGGGAGACTTGCTGTCATAAGCGTACTGGAGGAGGACCGCCCTGTACTTTTTAGGTAGCCTTTTGCTGGGAGATGGAAGCTGAGTTCTTGCCATCTTAGCTTTCCTTTGTTTTGTGCAAGTGTGATGATGATGATGTTAGCATTGGGGAGGATGGATGCTTTTTATTGGTGATGGATAGAGCTTACATTTGATACTAGTCAACTTGATCAAGATAGAAAAGGAGAGGCACCTAGCTTCCTTCCACATAGTTAACCATATCTGCAGGGGGCAGTACCCAACATGTGTCGCTTTCATCAAGATATGCAGATCTATGCAATTTCTCAGGGACCCATTGGTATCTAGTTCTTTAATTTGTTTTTGTGCAAACCTCTTTCTGTTCATATTTGATCATTACTAGGGGGAGGTCTTTGTCTTTGCTTCTGATCACTTCTTTTCTCTGGCCTAAACAGGAACACATCAATTGTTTGCCCTGTTACAAGTGCTATGCTGATGTCACTTCAGGTACCAACTAGCCCTCAATAATGTAAATCTTGTTGTAAGATGAGCTCAAATCCAGCTCCTGCATTCATTGGCTCACAGTTGAGAGTTCAGTAATCTGAATGTGAAAGTGGGAAAAATCCTATTTGTTCAGATATACCTTTCTTCAGAGGGAGGGCAACTGCATTAGTTCTCCCAAACTGATTAGACATGTACTGGTATCCATCCCATGTGATAAATGAGCAAACCTTTTTCACAACAGTTAGTAAATGAGGAGGATTAGTCATACATATCCCCTTGTCCAAAAGGTAAATAAAATTTCTTCTCTGGGATTTTTCCCTGTGATAATCACTGTTGTCTGCCATTTCATATTACTGGATTGGTGACTCATCAGACATTGCACTGCACTGATGACAGCTGATTGCAGATAGTCATATAAAAAGGGGCTTGATCTTTGGATCATGTTTGGCCACAATAGCACCTATAGGATCCTAAATGATACTTTCTTTTGTATTGTCTAGAAAGGAGAAAAAGTTTACATCTTTTGGCGACATGCATGCTTAGTGCTGACAAAGTACAGAGAATGGTTGACAAGAGTGCAATAAAATTTTGGACTCGATCAGGCCTGCCTCCACAATCACCCCTAACTCAATCTTATGTCCATATTAGCCGCCTGCCTTTTCGTGTGACACTGACCTCTCCTCCTCGAAGGTGCAGTTGTTGGGATTCTCAAGGATCTGAAAAACGTTGGACAGTAATTTTCAGTAGCAGTTACAGTGCTTATTACAGGTGTTGTCACCAAACTGGGGAGCTCTCTTGGCCCTTTTCTCATGCAGATGAAAGCAGATTGTGATACCATTTTTCTTGTGCAGATTTCTTGGCTTATCTAAACTCTGGATCTCTGCATGCTGACGAGGTTAGCAAGTTGCTCAAGTAACTGAGCATGGAGATGAAGACCGACAAAGTATGCTTCAGAGAAAAGGTTCTTTGAAAAATCTGTCTTTTTTTCGTACGAGTCTGCACAACTTTCTTTTACTCCCTTTATGTTCTAAAGTTCTTCATAACCACTTTATCATACATCCCAAGAAAAAATAAACTTACATACTGATGACTGCCTTGAAAAAACTCACATACTGAATAATATTTACAAGTATATTAGTATGCATTCTAGATTAGTCCTGTTACTAAACATGGCCACTTAAAAACTTTTTTGACAAGAACATGTCAATTAGCAGTTACAAACTTAGCTAGCTCGTGAGTTCTCAGAAGCTCTTTTGGGCTCAAAGCCCATAGCTCTATCTAATAAGAAGCTCATAAGGCTCAAAGCCTGTAAATCTATCGAAGATGCAATCTTAGGTTTGTTTGCTGGGCGCCTGGGCCGTTAGGCAAAACTTTGCAGCTTCAGAACTTGATGATAGCATACTTGGAGTTAAATGGCCAGTATATATACTCTACAAATTATGAGATGGATGATTCGAATGGAGGACTTTGGTATTTCACAGCTGATTCAAGCGGAGTTTAGTAATCGAGTTGGCACATGTGAGCTAATATATTCATAGAGAAACAATCTGTCCTCAAGGGTTATGATTGACATAAAGCATGTCTCAACCTATGAACTCGGAGCATGCATGCTTGTGTTATACAGAAGTTCATCATTCTTGCAAAAATTTGGTTGCTGATTCCACTGGCCCTTTTCTGGCATTCAGCAAATGGAGTGTTTGATTGACAAGTTGATCACTTTGGATAGGGAAAAAAAAGTTCAGGGGAGATAAGACAGTTCAGTAAGCAACAAAAACTGTCGGTGTCCTATCAACTGCTATCTTCATCATTGAGATGGATTTTATACAGTGCACTATGATCATGCAGTATAATCTCTATCGTCATCCAAAAGGTATCTATCTTGCTTCAAGTGTTCTCAACAATCATTGTGCAACATTGCATCATCACCATGCAAATACAAATTTCAAAAGTTTTGGTTTTGGATTTTCTTCAGAGATTTGCGTCCAAACCATGAGACATTCAGATAGAAGCAGAGACCATACTCCTGACGAACTCCCTTGGCCGTGGGAGACGGTGGTGTAGCCGTACCCGAGGACGTCCACGGCGAGCAGCCGGGGGCCTCCCCGCCATCGCGGCGTCGCACGCCGTGAAGCGCTCCCCCGCGCCGCGGCGTGCGTCGACGCGAGCAGCGCCCGCCGCGCGGCCCAGCCGCAGCGACACCAGCGGCGCCCTGGCCGCGGCGGCGCGGCGAGCGGTGCAGCGGCGGCCTCTTGAGCAGGTGGAGGTGGCCGAGCACCGGCTGGCTCGGCGCTGCGTCGCCATCACGCCTCCTCGTCCGAGGAAGGATGGCAACCACCAAGAACAGAACGGCGATGACGATGAGGAAAGGGGCGGCGCCGCCGGTCACCGCCATGGCCGCGCTCATGGCAACCTCGAGACTACCACGGCCGACAGCAACAGTTACCGACAGTTATAATTACGAATACAGAAAAAAAACTACTCCCTCCGTTTCGAAATGTTCGACGCCGTTGACTTTTTTTTTTTTCACATGTTTGACCGTTTGTCTTATTTAAAAAATTTAAGTAATTGTTAAATATATTTTTATGTAGGCATATAATTTTATATATTTCACAAAATTTTTTGAATAAGACGAACGGTTAAATATGTACTAAAAAGTCAACGGTGTCAAATATTTCGAAACGGAGGGAGTACTAGCATACGGAATACTGTCCGAGCTAAGGGATAAATTAGAGGATAAGGATACCAGTTACTCAATTAGTTAATTACGCTTTATCTGATGTTGTTGCTCCTCCCTCAACTACTCGTCTCCGTTTTGTTTTTCTTTTTGAGATAATTAAGATCAGACAGTAGTATTTCCCATAATCATTTGTCTCATATAATCAGGAGACGAGTGATTATGGAAAGTCTAGGTCCCATGGCAGCAGGGGAAACAAAGGAGAAAGAAGGCTATTGGAGAGGACACCTATAAGAGCATGTACAATAGTAGACTATAAACTAGACATAAACTAGATATAATTGGAGAGAGAAGAGCAGCGGACTACAGATTTGTAGCCAGCTGCAGCACGGACTCTAAGATACTTGTGTGTATGACAGGTAGGACCAACTATAAATTGTGTAGTATATATTTATAGGTAACTATTGTATGAATCGGCTATTAAATTGACTATAAATGATATGGAGTCGGTTGTTGGCTATACTATTAAACTTGCTCTAAGGTATCAGCTATGAGCTACAGTACCATGGGTATCAAGTATCACGTCTGATACCATAGATATCAGGTTTGGTACCATAAGTAGCAGATATGATACCTATAGGTATCACGTATGGTACCTAAGTACCAACCGGTACCCATAGGTATCAAGTATCATAGTATCCAAGAGATTAGATCTGATACTTATGGATATCAGGTCTGGGACCCCACGTACGCACGTACCTGGTATCAAGGCACTGACAAGGGACATGTGCCACTGCTTTGTCGGCTCGCAAAGGTCTACCGCCAACACCTCTTGCTCTCATATTCCTTTCCCTAGTCTCCTCAACTTCACTGTTCCTTCCTTGCTGTTGTGGGTGTTATCCTGCTGCAGCTGCGTCCTGTGCACCCTCTCTTGGTGTCCAGCCATCGGTGCTAGCGCCGCTACTTCCTGCTAGCATCATCACCATGCGTGCGGGAGGGTGGGTACGTGTCCTCTTGCTTCACTCGTTTTTTCACTCATGGGATTTCTCGTAGGCGGAGAAAATGAAGGGGTAGGTGATTCATTGAAATATCCCATTCCACGGGATCCCGTACTCTAGTCGCTCTCCAATCTTGGTGCGTTCAGCTACATGATGAAAGGAATCAAGCAAGCAATAGTATTTTAAAAAACAAAAGTGCTACAGGATGTTATCCCGTTCGGACGGGATGGTACCTCTGAGATATTGACTAATAGTCTGATACCCAGTTCAGACGGGATGATACCTTTGAGGTATTGCTTGATACCGAGTAGGTATCGACTGATATCCAAGTATCATACGATACCTCTAAGGTATCATCCTGTTCGAATGGGATACGTCCTATAGCATTTTCCTAAAAAAACAAGCATGTGGTCGGCATGTGGCCATGATAGGCACGAGACGTCCATCTATCATCTAGTAAGTTAGGGCTTGGTTTACATCCATTCTGAACCAAATCATTTAATTGACAGTGCTAAAATTTTGTGGCAGTAGCTAGATAACATTCCATAATTTTGTAGTAGTGAGTACTGAGTAGAGCTAGGGTTTCACTGTATTCTTATCTAGGCCACAAGGGTTACCCCAGCTCGTTAAGGCTTGCGAGCTAGCTCGAGCTAGTTCGTTAGCTCTAACGACCTAAAATGCCAGCTCAGCTCGTTAGGAAAATGAGCTGAGCCAAGCGAGCTAACGATCCATGAGTTTTGTTTCGACCCCAAGTACTATGTTTTATGTACACATGTACTTATATATTCTTTTTTTAAAAGAAAAATAGTAGCATGAAACATAGCCCGGTTATGTTACTGTGCTCCGAGAAGAAAAATATCAGGCATTGCTGCGGCTTACATGTGCAATAGAATGACCACTATTTGCACAAATATTTGAAATTTCAAAATTAAATATATAGTTATCAAATTATTATTATTGATTACTTGCTTGAATATCTTTTGTATAATAATCAAGATCTAAATATTAATTGGTTGATTAATTGTCTTATCAACCACTACCATGTTTCATTTATGGAGTGATGTACTTATATATTCTAAATAGAAACCTAGAACAATCACGGTTGTTATTGTGGTCCGAAAAGAAAAAATATCAGACATTATTGCAGCTTGACATGCGCAATATAGTGACCACTGATTTGTACAAAGGTTTGAAATTTCAAAGTTAAACATGTCATTTTCAATTTTTTAGAGATAATCCGAGAAATGCCATTGACAAGCGTCTAAATCCAAGATATGCCATCGACAAGTGTGAGTTACAAGAAATGCCATCGTATAAATGATTTTGTTCCAAAAATGCCATCGTCGTTAGGGTTTTGTCCATCCTGTGTCGTTAAGTGCTATATGATGAATAGTGTATTTAACAGTGTGGGGTGGACAGAAGCCTAACGATGATGGCATTTTTGGAACAAAATCGTTTGTATGATGGCATGTTTTGGAACTCACGCTTGTCGATGACATTTCTTGGATTTAAACGCTTATCAATGGCATTTCTTGGATTACCTCAAATTTTTATTGTTGATCATTTGCTTAAATATCCTTTTATATGATAATCAATATCTAAATATTAATTGTATTTTTCATCCATATCATGTTTAATTCATGGAGTGATGTACTTATATCTTCTAAATAGCAACCTGGAACACATCACAAATGTTACTGTGGTCTGAGAAGAAAAATAACAGGCATTATTGCAGCTTGACATGTGCAATATAGTGACCCCTAGTTTGTACAAAGGTTTGAAATTTCAAAGTTGAACATGTCATTTTCAAATTTTTATTGTTGATCCTTTGCTTGAATACCCTTTTATATGATAATCAATATCTAAATATTAATAGTCTTTTCCATCAATATCATGTTTCATTTATGCAGTGTTGTACTTATATCTTCTAAATAGTAACCTGGAACACATCACAGATGTTATTGTGGTCTGAGAAGAAAAATAACACGCATTATTGCAGCTTGACATGCACAATATAGTGACCACTAATTTGTACAGAGGTTTGAAATTTCAGTTGAACATGTCATTTTCAAATTTTTATTGTTGATTCGTTGCTTGAATATCCTTTATATGATAATAAATATCTAAATATTAATAGTCTTTTCCATCAGTATCATATTTCATTTATGGAGTGATGTACTTATATCATCTAAATAGTAACCTGGAACACATCACATATGTTATTGTGCTATGAGAAGAAAAATAACATGCATTATTGTAGCTTGACATGTGCAATATAGTGACCACTAATTTGCACAAAGGTTTGAAATTTAAAAGTTGAACATGTCATTTTCAAATTTTTATTGTTGATCCATTGCTTGAATATCCTTTTATATGATAATCAATATCTAAATATTAATAGTCTTTTCCATCAGTATCATGTTTCATTTATGGAGTGATGTACTTATATCTTCTAAATAGTAACCTGGAACACACCACACATGTTATTGTGGTCTAAGAAGAAAAACAACAGGCATTATTGCAGCTTGACATGTGCAATATATTGACCACTAATTTGTACAAAGGTTTGAAATTTTGAACATGTCTTTTTCAAATTCCTATTGTTGATCCTTGAATATCCTTTTATATGATAATCAATATATAAATATTAATTGTCTTTTCGACTAGTACCATGTTTCATATATGGAGTGCGGTACTTATATATTCTAAATAGCACCCTGGAACATAGCGTGGTCGTTACTGTGGTACGAGAAGAAATATATCGGGCATTATTGTGGCTTGACTTTGGGGCAATATTGCGGCTATTAATTTGCACAAAAGTTTGAAATTTCAAAGTTGAACATGTAGTTTTCAAATTATTATTATTATTGATTCTTTGCTTGAATATCATTGTATATGATAATCAAGATTTAAATATTAATCGTCTTATCGACAAGTACCATGTTTCACGTATGGAGTGATGTACTTATATACCCATTCATACCTTTTTATACAGGGTTTAGACTTGACTAAGAAAGTCATGAATTCATGATACACATGAAACTAACATAAAATTGGAAGTTGAGTGTTTCTTTTATTCGCCATTGGAATACAGTGATTGCTATAGCACACGCAATCTACAATACCGAAGCCAATCTGCTATTCACATAGAAGTAGATAGGATAGTCTTGACAAACTCCCGGGGCCGGCAGACAGCCGCCAATGGCGTCGCCATCGGCATCGTCAACCCGCCGCCTTCGGTCATGTCGACGACATCGTCGTCACCGACCTCCCAATCAAAGCACTGCACGAGCGCCGCCACCGACACGCCGACGACGCGCACGGCGAGCCCCTCCCCGGGGCACCGCCGCCGGCCGAGCCCGAACGGCATCATGGGCGCGGTGACCGCGCCGCCGGCGTCGCTGTCCACGAACCGCTCCGGCCTGAACTCCTCCGGTGCGTCCCAGACATCGCCGTCGCGGTGGATCGCCCACGCGTTCACGAGGACCTTCGTGCCGCGCGCGACGCGGAAGCCGCCCACCGTGGTGTCCTCCATGGCCTCGTGCGCCGGGATCACCGGGCCGGCGGTGCGGAGCCGGAGCGTCTCCTTGATGACACATTGGATGTAAGGGAGGTTCGCCATGTCGGCCTCCTCCACCAGCCGCGCCGTGCCGACGTTGGCGTCTATCTCCGCCCTCGCCTTCTTCATCGTCTCCGGGTGAGTCACCAGCTGCGCCATTGCCCACTCGATTGTCAGCGCCGACGTGTCGGTGCCGGCGAAGAGGAGCGACTGCACACCATGATCGAATCCATTGTACATGTTGATCACAATGGAGTAGAAGTGTAGAAGTGGGACAGTAATGGAAAACTGTTTTAAACACTCAGGTGCACGTCTACCCATTTGTTACATGTTAATTAAATAATTATAAAAAAAATTAAAAAAATTGATAAGATAGATTAATATGTAATATATCACTTTAAAAAAATACAAGTTCAAATTTGACGTCTATAAGTTGTAACAAAAATAACAAATTTAACTGCGAGTATACGTTATATTTGTTATTTTTGTTACAACTTGTAAAAGTCAAATTTGAACTTGCATGTTTATAAAGTGATATATTATATATTAATCTATCTTCTAATTTTTTTGTTTGAATTTTCTCATAATCATTTAATTGACATGCAAGAAACAGGTGGACGTCTACCCGAGAGATTAGAATTCATATTCAGACATCAATGGCTACTCACCAAGATGATGCCTTTGACGACATTGTCGGTGTAGTGGTCGGGATCGGTTTCTTGCAGCGCGAGGAGGGCGTCGATGACGCCCTTCTTCTCCTTGTCTTGGTCGCCATCGCCGGCGCTGCCGCTACGCCATTGCCGGTGGTCGTCGATAAGGCCGGTGACCATTGCGTCGCGCCGAGCTTGCAGCTTCTTCAGGCTGCCCACCTTGCCGCGGAGACGATCGACCCACCGGAGCGCCGGGAAGAAGTCGCCGACGCTCGGCGTGCCGTTCACCGAGAACGTCTCCTCGATGATCTCCTGGAGCTTGCGCGCGTCGACGCTGGCGTGGCGGCGGCGCGTCGTCGCCGCGCGCAGCATCACGTTGAGCACCAGCTCGAACAGCCTGGGCCGGAGCGTCACCTTGGCGCCGCCGGCGGCGTCGCGGAGGATGGCGTCGACGAGGGACGCGGCCTCGGCGTGGCGGTCGGCGGCGAGCGCGGCGAGGCGCGGCGCGGAGAGGAGCTCGACGGCGAGGAAGCGGCGGAGCGCGCGCCAGTGGTCGCCGTGGGGCGTCCACAGGACGATGGTGTGGTCGTACCCGAGGATCTCGCCGGCGAGCGTCCGCGGCCTCCCCGCCAGCGCGGCGTCGCACGCCGTGAAGCACTCCTCCGCCGCGGCGTGCGTCGACACGACCAGCGCCCGCCGCGCGCCCAGCCGCAGCGACACCACCGGCGCGCCCACCCCGGCGGCGACCGCTGCCAGCGAGCGGTGCAGCGGCTTCTTCAGCAGGTGGAGGTGGCCGAGCACCGGCAGCGCCGGCGGGCTCGGCGCCGCGCCGCCCTCACCACCCGACCACCATCGAACAAGAACGACGACGACGACGACCACCACAAACAGTAGAACGGTGATGCCAACGAGCACGGCGGCGCCACCATTGCCGCCGCCGGCCACCATGGCTACCTCGAGACCACCAGTCATGCTCGATGCAGGCTACAATACAACAACAGCTACCCAATGCAAGAAGCGATCGATTCCTTTCCTCGAGGAAGAACTCAAGCTGGGCTATAAAAGAGCAAGGCCCGTGTTTATTTCATGCGCCAAATTGTTTTTTTAAGTATACGGACACACATACGAAGTATTAAATGTAGACTAATAACAAAATAAATTACAGATTCCGCCAGTAAACTACGAGACGAATTTATTAAGCAAATGTTTACTGTAGCATCACATTGTTAAATCATGGCGTAATTAGGCTCAAAAGATTCGTCTCGCAATTTACATGCAAAATGTGTATTGATTTTTTTCATCCACATTTAATACTCCATACATATGTCCATACATTTGATGTGATGAAAATTTTGAAAGTTTGAAGGGAGCTAAACACTGCTCAGATCTAGTAGTACAGCCCACTGCTTCAAAAATTTTCACATTGGCAAAATGATAAAAATCATTGTTTAATCAATGCATTGTTAGTTAAACTATTATTTTCCTCATTGTTCCGTACGCTCTCTCCTGACACAAGTGCACTGCATGGCAGTTAATTGGTTGAATTGCTCGTGTCTGCGTTGGAGCGCGAGTACAGCTAGCGCTTAAATAGTCACCTGGTGATATACTCTCTCACCTCCAACTCACTGCTAATTGCTAAAACTGATGTGACAGGCTTATCGCTAGTTATTGTAGCTGCTATAAGGGCATCTCTAATATGCATGTAATGGTGACCATAAGCAATAAAATACTTCCTCCGTTTCATATTATAAGACTTTCTAATATTAGCCACATTCATATAATTAATGAATCTAGACATATATATGTGTTTAGATTCATTAGTATATATGAATATGGGTAATTTTAAAAAGTCTTATAATATGAAACGGAGGGAGTAATATTCTTAGTACAACTTTATACATAGAAAGGTGTGTTTGGAAGAGAATATTACTATGGCTAATCTTAAGCTTAAAGCTAGCCATAAGAAATATAAAATTACTTTATATCTTATTAGCATGTATGTTGGTTTGAATCCTTCAAACTAAAAGAATTAATAGGGATTATTTTTTGAAGAAATTGGAACGATGTGACGGAAAAGTTGGAAATTTATGTGTAGAAAAGTTCGATGTGATGTTTTTGGGGTTCAAACTTTGAATCTAAACACGACCTGAGTTTGTGATGATTGGAGATTACTAGACGGGTTCGCGCGGCGTGACGCCGCACGGAAGTGTGAACAAACAACAGTGATTCTAATTTGGTGTATACTTCACAACAGTGATTTGATTTGTGTATATAGCATTGAATTAAAATCTGATGGTGTTTTTTAGAGTTCTGGTTTGGTCTATAGGAAAAACATGCTTAGAGGTGCGCGTGTATCAGCTTTTGGATGAATTTATACGAAAGAGAAGGCCAGGCCATCTCCAGTGTTAATAGATTTATCAACATCAACACCAAACGAAGTGAAAGCATAAGTCTCATAAAATGATTAGAACAGCTAGAACCATCAAAATGCATGGGTTCTCCCAAAGGATGAGGCCATTCCTTGAAAATAGGTAGCGAAACACGCCATCGGCGACAACACTTATTGTAAACAATAGGCTCTCCAGGATGGGGCTTGTTCTGGTGTGTCCTTTCATAGTACCAAAAGACAACACAACATATAGAACAACAGTAATCAGAACCTCCATAGTAAGAGCGGCCAGAATAAGAAGCTATACACAAGCAAAAGAAAGACCACAATAAGAAAGTGTAAAAAGAATCTAAGTAATAAATAGAAAATCCTAAAAAAAAGAGAGAAAAAGAAGTACCTTTAAGAAAATGAGCATGCTCTTTAGAAAAACAACAGATGAACAAGTAAATATACCTGTAGAGTTAACTGGAAAAATATGCCCTAAAAACAAAATAATTATAGTCACATCAATAGTTAAATAAACAACATATGGAAACTTAAAGGAAAAATAAAAGAACATACCTTATACCTTAGTTACGACGAAGCCGGCGGTTATTAGCCAAACGCCTTTTTAACCGGTTAGAAAATGCCTCCACGCGAGAAATACGTAGGAAACTACGTGCTAAAAAAACGGTAGGTGAACAAAGAAAACTATCGAACAGACAAATAAAATAAGATTAAGGAGGGAAAAACAACTAGCCACACGCAAGAGGAGGACGATAACATATAGATTCATCTTAAAGCTGTTGACGAGTAGGAATGGAACCAACGGAAGGACAAATGTGACCTAGCAACCGAAAATGAAGAAAAAGAAGTACATAAAAGGCAAAAAAAAATTTTACACGACCAAAAAACATGCAAATTTTAAAAAAATAAAGAAAAGTAAAAGGAATAGGAAACAAACCTAAATCGTGAGCAAGAAAACTGAAACGAGAACAGCGTCTTATTGCCCCACGGCGTGACCTAGCAACCGAAGATGAAGACATGACGAAAGTGAAAAAGAGTAACAGCAAGACCGAACAAGACACAACCACACAAGGAAGCTCAACCTGCAACGGACACAGCAACCATCAATTTGAGCCATGAAGAATTAGGAGAGAGCAAGCCACAAAGGAAATTTAGAAAGAAAAAAAACACCAACCAAAACTGATGGAAGAAAACACAAGCTTAGCACATGCGGAAGAACTTACAGGGAAAAAAATCTGGTTTAGGAGATGTAATTTGCAACTACGAAGAGGCAATCTGTCATGCTTAAATTAATATATAGCTGAAAAAATGACAAAACGTGGGAAAAAGTGAAATGGCTGGCATAAATTAAACGAACCATTGTGAACACCATGGTGCCCTTCCCTCCGTAATAATATGCTATTATATCGTATGTAGTGCCAAATTAGTTGTGTACTATGGTAATTATCAAGTGCAAACAGTACAATATATGGATGGATGGCATGGGGGCAGCATGTGCACACCACATGTTGGCACGAGCAAAGCAGTAGTTAGGCCTCTCACAGTGCAATCTATAGGGTCCATACCCCTAGTCTAAAAAGTTGGCCCAAAGACACCCACCCTACAGTGCAAGCACCCATATATGTGTGGCTTAATTGGATGGAGACACAGGTAAAGGAAACGAAGCCCACAGTGGGCGTGACCTAGCCCACCAAATCCACAACTTAATTCCCCAACTACCCCTCTCTCTCTCTGTTCGTGCCGTCTCTTTTACTTCTCCCCGGTGCGCACCGCATCCCCTCCCGCATCTCGCTTGCATCGCCACCGCTTCGACTCCCCTTCTCCCTCTACCGACGGCTGCGCCGGATCTCCTCCCTCCGCGCGCCGGCTCTGCTTCTCCTCTCCTCCCTCCGATGCCGGCAGCCGCGGTTGCCGGCTCGCGCGGCGACCGACGCGCGCGGGAGGCGCCGGATCTCCTCCCTCTGCCGCCGGTGCCGGCTTCTCTTCTCCTCCCTCCGGTGCCGGCAGCCACGATTGCCGGCTCGCGCGGCGATCGACGTGCGCGGGAAGCGTCCTCGGGAGGCTCCGGCGCCAGCGGAAGACGATGCGCCGATGGGGATGTGGTGGCCACGGCGGCGGATGTGGTAGTCAACGCCAGATCTCCTCTCTCCGCCGCTGCCGCCGTGAGGAGGAGGTAGTGTTCGTCGAGGAGGACGAGCAGAAGCAGGAGGAGCAGAAGCAGAAGCACCGGTGAGCTGGTCCTCCTCCTCGCCTCCCGTGCCTGTTCTTGGCGGGCGGCAGCGAGTCCTCCGCCGATGGCAGGAGCGATGAGTCCTCCGCCGTCAACGTCGCTCCCCACCTCGTCGTCCTCGTCCTCGTCGGCGGAATCGGAGCAGGCGGGGGTGGTGAAGCAGGAGGAGTCCGATCTGTTGAATCTCGTTGTGATGATTTTGCTTTCGTTTTCTTTTTCATCTTGTTGAATCCGATCTGTTCTTCTCTTCCAATCCCTAAGATTTTCTTACCTTTTCTCTTCCAATCCAATATGTGGCGGGAGAAATTATGCTGTGGCAGGAGGGGATTTTGGGAGGGCGAATCGGGGATTTTGGGTGCTAGGGGCACGCGAGCACGAGGCTACGCCGTCCACAGCGCGCGCGTCCCACATCTTCTCCTCGCTGCGTGCCTTGGTCCTGGTGAGGTTCTGTTAGCTGCCGAGAAACCTAGCTAAGGCGCGGTCGCTCGCTCCACGTCGACGAAAATCCGAGCTGGCGCAACTAGGATCCGCGCCAGCTCGGTGCACTGTGAGAGGTCTTAGTGCATGGACTACAGATTGTGGCTGCATGCATGGCAGTATGCACAGTACACATGCAAGCACAAAGCGTGCACAAACAGCTACTCCAGAAATCGTTTTTTTCTGGGACAAAGACTTTCCTCCAGAAATCGACTCTCTTTGTGGGACGGAGGGAGTAAAAGTCTCAGGATGAGAACTGACTAGCAAAATCAAAAGGAAAGTGAAAAAGTACTATGACGCACGTACACGTACTAATCCACGCTGAAAACATAGTATACACCGGATACAAGACATCAGCCGGGAACCAGCCCGGTCACACTAGAAAAAATAAATTACAACAAGAAAAAAGCAAGCCACGAGGCAAATAGCGGAAGTGCCAGGAAAAAAAAACTCGTGTGTTTAGTTCCCGTTAAAATTGGAAGTTTAATTGAAATTGGAACGATGTGATGGAAAAGTTGAAAATTTATGTGTGTAGAAAAGTTTTGATGTGATGAAAAAATTGAAAATTTGAAGAAAACGTTGAGGACTAAACTAGGCCTCAAAATACCAGGAAAATCGAAACCTGACCGGTGACTACTAGGTTAGTATTTTCTTCGGTTTTCATTCGTACTGCACTGCTGTTTGCTTCGTTACTACTTCTCCCTATCCAATCCAACAGTCTTATTTTCATCCCGATCAACATCGAACGGGTAATATGTGTTAGATGGATTTGGATCCGGTGCAGTACACTAGTGTGACTGCAACATAAGCAGTTACACCAGGACCTTTTGATGTAAATTCAAGGGTCTAAAATCTATGAAGTACTGTTTACATTTGAAAAAACCATAGAACTACTGTAGCAGCAACACTGTAGCATCAGATTTAGACCGTTCATTGGAAAAAATAGATGGCTGAGATGATCTCAATTCGTCTTTGATGACGTGGCCTATTCTTACGGTATTTTGGATTCACTTTTCACTTGGAAAGATTTGAAGAAAAAAAAGATAAAAGACAAACTTTTGTAGATTATAGTAGCCCAGCCCTGCTAAATCTGTCCCCGCCACTGGGTTTGAGCATTTGATTCCATTTCTAATATAACAAAATATGATAACGTTAATGGTTTGAGCTTTTTTTTCTCCCGATTATTTCATGTGAAGAGACCATCATCGAATCACCCATGCCGGCTGCTGTTCACCACGGATCAAGTCCGTTGCCATTGTAGTTGCGGTTAAATTAATTTCGCGCATTCCATGCATGTGGCAACCCCATGCCGGCTGCTGTTCACGATTATTTTTTTTATTTTAAACCTTTCAAGTTTTTAATTTTAAAAAATAAAATCACCCGTAACTTATTTTCAGTCAGACTGACATGGCGAAACAATGTTGGCCACACCGATCTCTGGCTGACGTGATAATATTGTTTTACCACGCCATCCTGGTTAGCGTGGCCAAGCAATATCGTCAGGCCCAACTCTAAGAAATGGGAATGAAATTCATTCATTTTGTATAATTAAGTTTATATGATAGGCTTTTTGACACATCAACACATCCTATGAAATGCTCTCACCTATCAGACTTTTTGACAACCCATTGCTATTATATTTGTTGGCGGATGGCATGAGGCCCTTCGACCAAATCTGCCGAAACCCATGGCGAAGACTACGGAGCAAGAATGGCAAGAGGCGAAGGGTCGTACGAGGAGTGAGTAAGCTAGAGGCGTCCCAGACGAAGGGTGCAAGATGAAGAGTATCTGCCAAAGGAAGACGACTTCGTCGTGGCGAGTTCGTCCCCGCGAGGGCCAAGAAAGCCTTCCCGACCCATCAAGCCTAGGGGCTATAGGGCCGGCGATCGCCCAACGGCCCATCAGGGGCCCATGAGCCTCCGTAACGTTGTGTACCCTTGTGAATGTCCCTTTCGTAAGGGCAATCGTGTAAATTCCCCTGTGTAACCTAAACCCTAGCAGTAAGAACTTGTAATGGGGCTATATATAGTCCCCTAGGGCCATGTAATAGGGAGACGGAGGAGGAAGAAATTCCAAAAACTAACACACTTCGTTTCTTTCCAACCACTGTTGAGCAACCACGTCTTTCGACGTATGCGGTTGTCGTTTCGACAACAGCTGGTGCCGACCGTGGGGACCTCCGAGCGAAACCACTGAGAGCAAATGCCACCGAAGAAGGTCGTGAAGGAGAAGGTTACAAGGCGAAAGGAAAGCGACGCCGTAGCGGACATGGCCGCCGAAGAGGGAGCAGAGCCTTCGGCGTTGGTGACCGAAGTTGGAGGGGCGCCATCTGCTTCTGCGCCTGTGCCATCATTGCCACCTTCGGCCCCTGCCACCTCTGAGCAGGTGCCGAACGTGGCCGACGTGGCGAAGGCGGCTGCAGCCGCAAGGGCACTTCAGACCAGGGCGGAGATCCTTTCGACAAGCCAGCTGCTGGTGCCCCAGGCCGCTCCGTCGTAGCCGGCAGCGGCCCAAACTGCGCTCTCCGCCATGCAAGTCCAAGTCAACTCTGACCCTGAGACACAAACCGAAGCCGACATGGAAGCCATGCGACAAAACATGACACGACTCCAAGACATGCTTCGTCAAATGCAAGAGCAGCAGCAAGCGTACGAGGCGGCAAGGCGGTCCAAGGTCGCTTCGGCACCAATCCTCCAGTATTCGGCAGGATATGTCCCACCTCGAGTCTATCCGCAAGTGCCACCCCAGCCCCTTCCGCCACAAGTCGCGCAGGCGTCAATGTACTTCGTCGGGCAGCCGACAGCTGCAGCAGTGCATCTGGCCCCCCACTTGCAACTGCAAGCTCAACTGGCTGCGGCCCAAGTACATCCTCAACCACTTGGCCAAGTGTCGCAAGCAATGGCAGAAGGGGCTTCGGCTCTGCAGGCACAATTCCAAGCTTTCCTTCAACAAATCAATCAACCCCACAACATTTCGAGTACAACCTCCTCGACTCGTCCAGAGGGGAATGCAAGTCAAGGTGCTCTCAGTTGGTTGCCGTCGAACCAGCCAAGTCTGGGGGCTTCGCCGTGGAGTCAAGGACCGCAGTTCAACTTCATCAATGCTGCTTAGGCGCCAACCGTTCGGCCGCAAGCACCAATACCAAGCTTTGGAACAAAGCACCAACCCAGGTCGCCATGATGTGGTCGCAGCCAGTTTTCGACCCATCCATGGCGGCTCAGCAAGCATTACCAATCGGAGCCGGGCAGCCGAACACCATGGCCCAAACTCATGCGCAAGCCGTAATTTCGCCCTTCGCCACGCCGTACCCGCAGCAAGGTGCCGTGAACAGGGCGGGAGGCAAAAAGGGGCTACCGCTGAGTGGGGGAATCAAGACCCGTCCAATCCCACCGTAGTTCAAGTTCCCACCCGTCCTAGGCTACTCAGGTGAAACTGACCCGAAGGAATTCCTATCCATCTACGAGTCTGCGATCGAAGCGACTCATGGCGACGAAAATATCAAGGCAAAGGTAATACATCTTGCCCTAGATGGCATCGCCCATTCTTGGTACTTCAATTTACCAGCCAACAGCATTTACTCATGGGAGCAATTGCGCGATGTTTTTGTCCATAACTTTCGAGGCACCTATGAGGAGCCGAAGACACAGCAACATCACTCGGCATTCGCCAGAGGCCGGGAGAGTCAATAAGGGAATATATGCGTCGCTTCTCGCAAGCCCAATGCCAAGTTCAAGACATAACCGAGGCGTCGGTCATAAACGCCGCTTCGGCTGGTTTGCTCGAGGGCGAACTCACAAGGAAAATCGCCAACAAGGAACCACAGACACTTGAGCACCTACTTCGCATCATTGACGGTTTCGCAAGGGGCGAGGAGGATTCCAAGCGACGGCAAGCTATACAAGCTGAGTACGATAAAGCCTCTGTCGCCGCTGCTCAAGCTCAAGCACAAGTTCAAGTCGCCGAACCACCTCCCCTGGCTATTCGCCAGCCTCAGCCGGTGATCCAGGGACAGCCGCCAAGGCAAGGCCAAGCCCCCATGACCTGGAGAAAGTTTAGAACCGACCGTGCGGGCAAGGCTGTGATGGTTATCGAAGAAGTGCAAGCCCTCCGCAAGGAGTTCGACGCCCAGCAAGCAAGCAACAATTAGCAACCGGTCCGCAAGAAGGTCCAAAAAGACCTCTACTGCGCCTTCCACGGACGCTCTTCGCACACCACGGAGCAATGCCGAAATATTAGCCAATGTGGCAACGCGCAAGATTCAAGGCCACAGCAGGGAGCAACTGTCGAAGCTCCTCGAGAAGCAGTTCAGGAGCAGGCACCCTTAGCCGAACAACGCCAAGATGCACAGCGAAGGGTAATCCAAGTGATTACAAGGGCTGACCTGCCAACCCAGTTGTCGAAACGGCAGAAGAAGATGCAGATCCGAACGGTCCACAGCATCACTTCGGCAGGTGAAGGGGCACCGCAGTATCTGAACCAACTAATTTCTTTTGGGCCGGAGGACGCCAAAGGAGTTATGTTGCCACATCAAGATCCCCTAGTAATCTCAACCGAGATAGCTGGCTTCGAAGTCCGGCGAATCTTGGTCGACGGAGGGAGTTCGGCCGATGTTATCTTCGCCGAAGCATATGCTAAGATGGGGTTTCCCACCCAAGCCCTTACCCCAGCGCCAGCATCGCTCTGCGGATTCGGCGGAGAGGCAGTTCAAGTTCTTGGCCAGGCACTTTCGATGATAGCTTTTGGCTCGGGAGAGAATAGACGTGAAGAGCAAGTACTGTTCGACGTTGTCGACATCCCGTACAATTACAACGGCATCTTCGGCCGTGCAACCCTGAACAAGTTCGAAGCCATTTCCCACCATAATTATCTCAAGCTCAAGATGCCCGGCCCGGCAGGAGTGATAGTGGTCAAGGGGCTTCAGCCTTCGGCTGCTTCAAAAGGCGATCTGGCCATAATCAACAGAGCAGTGCACAATGTTGAGGCCGAACCGCATGACCTGCCGAAGCACGTGCCAAAGCCCACCCCTCATGGCAAGATAATAAAGGTACAGATGGATGATGCCGACCCCACAAAGCTCGTGTCACTAGGGGGCAACATGGGCGAGGAAGAAGCTGAAAGCATCCTGGAGGTGCTCAAGAAGAATATTGGTATCTTCGCTTGGAGCCCTGTCGAAGTGGGAGGTGTTTCGACAGATCTCATTATGCATCACCTGGCAGTCAAGCCGGAGGCCAAGCCAAGAAAACAGAAGTTGCGCAAGATGTCCGCTGATCGCCAAGAGGCGGCGAAAGCCGAGGTCCAAAAACTACTCAGGGCTAGGGTCATTCAAGAAATCGATCACCCGGAGTGGCTGGCAAATCCAGTGCTGGTGCGAAAGTCAAACGGCAAATGGCGCATATGTGTCGATTTCACAGACCTGAACAAAGTATGTCCGAAAGACGATTTCCCCTTGCCGCGGATTGATCAGCTCGTGGATTCAACAGCTGGCTGCGAACTTATGAGTTTCCTCGATGCGTATTCCGGCTATCACCAGATCCACATGAACCCGCCCGACATCCCCAAGACAGCCTTCATTACTCCATTCGGCACATTTTGTCACCTCAGGATGGCTTTCGGCCTGAGGAATGCTGGAGCAACCTTCGCCAGGCTGGTGTACAAGGTCCTTTGTAAGCAGTTGGGGCGAAACGTGGAAGCTTATGTCGATGACATCGTCGTAAAAAGCCGCAAGGCTTTCGATCATGCGTCTGAACTACAGGAGACCTTTGACAACTTGCGCACAACGGGCATAAAACTGAATCCCGAGAAGTGCGTTTTCGGTGTTCGCGCAGGCAAGCTGTTGGACTTCCTTGTTTCTGAAAGAGGCATTGAGGCGAATCCTGAGAAAATCAACGCTATTCAGCAAATGAAGCACCCGTCGAGCGTACATGAGGTACAAAAGCTTGCGGGCCGAATTGCGGCACTTAGCCGATCCCTCTCAAAGGCAGCCGAAAGAGGTTTATCCTTCTTCAAGACCCTCCGGGGCGCGGGAAAGTTCAATTGGATGCCAGAATGCCAAGCAGCGTTCGACGAGCTAAAGCAATACCTCAAAGCCTACCAGCTCTGATAAGCCCAGCACCAGGGAGCGAACTGCTACTATACTTAGCAGCTTCGCCAGCGGCAGTCAGTGCTGCCCTCGTCCAAGAAACAGAGTTCGGCCAGAAGCCGGTCTATTTCGTCTCTGAAGCATTGCAAGGAGCGAAGACAAGATACATTGAAATTGAAAAGCTCGCTTACGCCCTGGTGATGGCTTCGCGCAAGCTCAAGCACTACTTCTAGGCCCACAAAGTAACAGTGCCATCACAGTACCCCTTGTGCGAAATACTCCGAGGCAAGGAAGTTACTGGCCGACTCAGCAAGTGGGCGGCAGAGCTATCCCCGTTCGACTTGCATTTTGTTGCACGCACCGCTGTCAAGTCTCAAGTGCTAGCTGACTTCGTAGCTGAATGGACATCAGTATTCGCCTCCGAGCTCGAGCCCGTCGAAAAATCCTGGGTGATGTGCTCCGACGGTTTGTGGTCGCATAAGGGGGCAGGCATTGCGGCAGTACTCATTTCGCCGAATGGTGTGCCAATTCGGTATGCTGCAAGGCTGCAGTTCAACACAACCAACAACGCAGCAGAATACAAAGCCATTCTTCTGGGTCTAAGAAAGGCGAAAGCACTGGGAGTCCGGCGCTTGCTAATCCGAACCGATTCTAAGTTGGTGGCAGGCCACGTTGACAAATCCTTCGAGGCAAAAGAAGAAGGAATGAAGAGGTATTTGGAGGCCGTTTGGTCCATGGAAAAGTACTTCACCGGCATAACAGTCGAACACTTACCTAGAGGCCAGAACGAGGAAGCAGACGCCTTGGCGAAATCTGTTGCTTATGGCGGACCACATTTGCCTGGCATCTTTTTCGAAGTCCTACTTGCACCAAGTGTGCCCGTGGACAGCTTGGAGGTCATGGCACCGGGCGAAGACCCACACGACTGGCGAACCCCGTTTGTAAAACATCTTGAAACTGGTTGGCTTCCGGAAGACGAAGCAGAAGCAAAGCGCTTGCAAATCAGGGCCACGAAGTATAAGATGGTCTCGGGCCAGCTCTATCGCTCCGGGGTACTTCAACCCTTACTTCATTGCATCTCTTCCGCCGAAGGCGAGGAAATGGCGAAGGAAATACACCAGGGGCTATGTGGCGCGCACCAAGCGGCAAGAACGGTGGCCTTCAAAGTGTTTAGACAAGGAGTTTACTGGCCCACTGTGTTGAAAGTCTGTGCTGAGCAAATCAAGAAGTGCGAAAGTTGCCAACGTCATGGCCGAAGCCAAACCGTGCCCCACTATGATTTGCAGCCCATTGCGCCAATCTGGCCCTTTACCAGATGGGGACTGGACATCATTGGGCCGTTCCCGGTGGCGCGAAACGGGTATAAGTTCGTAATTGTGGCTGTAGAATATTTCTCTCGGTGGATCGAGGCCGAACCCCTCGGAGCAATCACTTCGGCAACAGTACAGAAGTTTGTTAGGAAAAACATAATCTGCCGTTTCGGAGTGCCAAAAGAGTTCATCACTGACAATGGCAAGCAGTTCGACTCTGACAAGTTCAGAGAGATGTGCGAAGGACTTAACCTGCAAATCAGGTTCGCGTCGGTCGCACACCCGCAGTCAAATGGGGCGGCCGAATGTACAAATGGCAAGATCCTAGAAGCACTAAAGAAAAGGCTCGAGGGGGCAGCGAAGGGTAAATGGCTCGAGGAAATGTTATCTGTTCTCTGGGCCCTTCGGACAACCCCCACAAGACCAACCAAATTTAGCCCGTTCATGCTTCTTTATGGCGATGAGGCAATGACCCCAGCAGAGCTAGGGGCTAACTCACCAAGGGTGATGTTCTCCGAGGGCGAAGGGGGACGCGAAGTGTCGCTCGAACTCCTGGAAGGGGTAAGAGTCGAAGCACTCGAGCACATGCGCAAGTACGCCGTAGGCACTTCGGCAGGGACCCCTCGCACTTTTGCGCCCATATCAGTAAGGGCGAGGCGAAGCGTTTGGCACGCCGTTCGTGCGGACTTGGTAGTTTTCGCCATCTCCCGCGAGAACCGCCGCGACTCCTCTGCAGCGCTCGCTTCGGCCTTGCTGACCTCCTGGCGAAGAGCCTCCATTTTCGGCTCAGTGAGGTTATAATAATCCGTTAGCACGGTGGAGTGAGCCTTTTCTTTCTCCAGTTCGGCCTTGAGGTGATCGACCTCAGCCCTAGCCTCTCTCCCTTTCTCCAATTCGGATTGGAGCCGCTTGTTTTCGGCCTGCGCCTCTTTCAGGGTATTGGCGAGGGCCTCCATCTCCAAATTCTTGCGGCCTATTTCGTCATCCTTGGCCCGAAGACGGTTTTTGAATCCATCAAGACGAGCCCGCATGGTTCGCTCTGTCGAACAGTGAGCCGCAAGGATCTGGATGCAAAATACGAACGCCGAAGAGAGCAAATATTAGTTATGGGACAAGTAAAGAAGTAGGGGAAAACTAAGAATAGAGAAAAAAAACATACCCGAACCGCCAAGCTTTTGATAGCACAACACCCCTCATCGAACTCGTTCAGTTCGGTGAACAGACTCGGGGTATTGGCAGGTAAGACAAGATTGCTTACCCCCTCCACAAAAGGAAGGAGGTCCGCCCGGGTCTCGAAATCGCTAGGGGCGAAATGAGGCGCCACAAGCGAATACTCCGAAGCAGAAGTCTCGACGGCTGCCCCCTTCCCCTTCGCCTCGATTAGCGGCGATGCAACCGGCTGACGCAGAGGGCTGCCGAAGACCCTCACGGCAGTTGTCATGATCCGTTCCGCAGAGGCCGAAGCCCCAGCGGCAGCGCTACCGCCTTCTCCGTCAGCACCAAGTGGAAGAACGGGGGCGATCGAAAGGTCCAGGCTACGGCCAGCGGGCGAAGTCGGAGTCCCATCAGAAGACTCGTCGTCGCTGAAAATGCGAGCGACGTCGACGAGTCCTTTCTTCTTAGAGATCTTCTTGACCGGACCTCCCTTCGTCGCCTTGCCCGACGAGAATGCAACTAGGGCCTTCGCCCCGTCCAAATCTTTTTGTCGAAGGGGGGAGCTTTTCGACTCCACCCCGGTCTCGTTGTGGCCGGACTGGGAGTGGGAGTGTAGCCAGGAGTATCAACGCGGTCTTCGATCGCCTCGCTCGCGGCCTTTTCAGCCACGGCCTCCGCCTCCTCTTCTTCCTCCCCTTCTTCCTCGCCATCATGCTCTTCGGCATCGTCCTCATCATCGGCGTCGAAATCCAACGAAGCAGGAGCCCTTCGCTTCCTAGGGGCAAGCTTTACTTGTCCGCGTGTTCGCTTTCGCGAAGGTCCTACATCGTCGTCGGCTTTGTGGGGGTTCGCCCGGGGAGGCAATTCACCGTTGTCGTGTCAACAGCTGGCTATACTCGATGACCGACACATCGCCGATCATCCTGCGGGCTTCAGTTTCAGCCTGGTCGAGGGTTAACACTGTAAAAGTAAAGGATGTAGCTACATTAAAGGTCGAACAAGGCAAAATAGAACAGTCTTACTATTCATTCCCTCAAGGAGAACCAGCTTCGGCAAACTGTCAATCTCTTCGCTCTGATCAACCGTAACCTGCCATGACTGGGAGAGGGGAAAGATGCGAAGCATACAGAATTCCTCAACCAAGTCACGGCAGCTAAGGCGAGAGCAAACCTTTCGTAGAAGAACGAACCGCGCCTCCATAGCGCCGTCCACGGCAATCTTGGGTTTCCGGTTCGGCACAATCGCCCTGCGCCGGCACCAAAGAGCTTTCACCGAGTCAGAACCAGCCTCGAAGGGGATGGTGTGATAGAACCACCTCGCCATCCAATGGCGGTCCCACTTCGACATGGCGGCGTTCACCGGCCAGAGATCGGACCGCTCAGGGCGAACGTTAAAGTTCACGCTCCCGAACACTATCTTCTTTGTTCCAGCCGGGGTAATCACTGTCTTCAAGTTCACGGTGGCGAAAAATATAGCGCCGAAGAGTGCGGCGCTAGGTTCAAACCCGGAAGTCCGGCACGCCCAGTCGAAGATGGAGATCCGAACCAACGCCGACGGGCTCAACTGTGGGAGCTCCACCTGGAAAAGGCGAAGGATCTCCGGCAACAACACGTTGCACGGAAACCGTAGCCCCGCCTCAAAAAAGACGGCGAACACCACCGTCCGATTGTCGACAGGCTTCGGTACTACGGCTTTCCCCGGGGCGAAACCGCCTCAACCAACGCCCCAGAGCTGACCAATTTCGCCAGCTCGACGTCGTCCATGAGAGAAACCCCCAAAAAGGCGGTGCTATCATCATCAACCCGGCCGGGATCCGGCCCTTTCGCTGAAACAGGGTTTGGCTTGCGAGGGGCCATGGCGAAGGGTGTGTATGTGATGGCGAAGGAAGAGAATGGGCGAAACACCAGAGGGGTCAAGAAATGCTGCGGAAGGAAAGAACAAAGGAAAAGAGTGCACGCGGTAAAAATGGCAAGTGTAACAATGAAAAGGACAGAAGGGTGGGAATATATAGCCCACCCGGGCGACGGTTCGCCTACCCACCAGTGCCACGTGTCGCAGGGGTAGGCGAAACGGTAAATTCCCATCGACCGAGCAGCATAGTAAAAAAGCCCATAAAGGGAAAGCCCAATATTGTTCCCTTCGGCCCGGCAAAAGTAAAAGTATATATATTTGTATACCACTGGCCATGGGGGCAAACAGCGGCAAAATAATACCAGCCGCACAAGTAACAAACTCTATTTGCAGGAACAATGTAGGTTTCGGCAGGAGCATCGGTCGAAAGGGGGCGCCGCATACCATACCACATGGTGTGCATGGTCTCGGCCGAAGCTCCATTCTCACCCTTGCCCGTGAGGGGCTTGTTGGCGGATGGCATGAGGCCCTTCGACCAAATCTGCCGAAACCCATGGCGAAGACTACGGAGCAAGAATGGCAAGAGGCGAAGGGTCGTACGAGGAGTGAGTAAGCTAGAGGCGTCCCAGACGAAGGGTGCAAGGCGAAGAGTATCTGTCGAAGGAAGACGACTTCGCCGTGGCGAGTTCGGCCCCGCGAGGGCCG